ATCCTCTTCAATAGGATGATAAGTCCCCAAAGTTGCTCTAATCGCAACATCCTCCTTTCACGTTAACATCAAACCTCTGACAATCCACTTATCAATCCTCGTCAATAGGATGATAAGTCCATAAAGTTGCCCCAATCGCAACATCCTCATGTCACGTTAACATCAAACCTCTGACAATCCACTTATCAATCCCCGTCAATAGGATGATAAGTCCCCAAAATTGCTCAAATCGTGATCTTCCCCAGCAAGACACTAACTCTCCAAAATCTTATTCAAATCACGAGCATCAAAACTCATCACTTCTGATGATAAATTCACCTAGCAAGTCTCCCCAGCGAGATGCTAATTCCCAAAATCTTGTGCAAGTCACAAGTACACAAATCTGTCACGTTAACATCAAACCTCTGACAATCTACTTATCAATCCTCGTCAAAAGGATGATAAGTCCACAAAGTTGCTCCAATCGCAACATCATCCTGTCACGTTAACACTAAACCTCTGACAATCCACTTATCAATCCTCGTCAATAGGATGATAAGTCCACAAAGTTGCTCCAATCGCAACATCCTCCTGTCACGTTAACACTAAACCTCTGACAATTCACTTATCAATCCTCGTCAAAAGGATGATAAGTCCACAAAGTTGCTCCAATCGCAACATCATCCTGTCACGTTAACACTAAACCTCTGACAATCCACTTATCAATCCTCGTCAATAGGATGATAAGTCCACAAAGTTGCTCCAATCGCAACATCCTCCTGTCACGTTAACATCACACCTCTGACACAATCCACTTATCGACTCTCTCTAATAGAGCGATAGGTCCTCAAAGTTGCCTTGATCGCAACAATCAACTTATCGACTCTCTTCAATAGAGCGATAGGTCCACGAACCAGTCAAGTTAACATCACACCTTTGACGACCAAATCAACTTATCGACTCTCTTCAATAGAGCGATAAGCCCATAAAATACTGTTAGGTTAACATCACACCTCTAACAGTCAAACCCTCCCCAATGAACTTGTTAATCCTTTTTTTTAACAAGAATAGCAAGTTTCCATTATAAAATCCCCAGTGGATTAATGATTTTCTGGAATTATCCTGGTGATAATAAAGAAAATTTCTGAATTTCACTCTAAGTGAAAACTCATGCCAAGTTAATATTACACCTCTGGCACTTCTAATTTTCTTTCAGTGTTTCGAATAACACAGGAAGAAACAGTGACAAAGTCTACGTATTCAATATCGTAGCCAGTGATTATCATTAAATTGATAATCTCTGAATCCATACATTGCATGTATGAGGAATTTTATCCCGAATCCTAAGAAGGGATAAGTCAACGCCTAATACGCGTTGCCGGTGAGTCTTTGACCGTAAAAAGGACAAAAGTCTACGTATTCAACATCGTAGCAGGTCGTTATTAATAACGCCGAAATCCATGCCTCACACGCATGGGGGACTTTATCTCGATCCCTGATTAGAGATAAGTCTGCATCTAACACATGCTGCCGGGTAGCGCATTCCCGCAATAATGGCAAAGTCTACATATTCAATATCGTAGCCAGTGATTATCATTAAATTGATAATCTCTGAATCCATACATTGCATGTATGGGGAATTTTATCCCGAATCCTAAGAAGGGATAAGTCAACGCCTAATACGCGTTGCCGGTGAGTCTTTGACCGTAAAAAGGACAAAAGTCTACGTATTCAATATCGTAGCAGGTCGTTATTAATAACGCCAAAATCCATGCCTTACACGCATGGGGAACATTATCCCAAATCCTAAGCAGGGATAAGCCTACGCCTAACACGCGTCGCCGGTTAGTCTTTTTCCGTAAAAAATGACAAAGTCTATGTATTCAAAATCATAGCATCAAGTCTAAGAGAGTTCATTCTCTTAGCACAACGTTACATGTGGAACGGACTTAAATAATTCACATGCTAGCCCGACTCAAACGGTAGTCGGTAAAGGCTTATCAAATCCGTTGATGGCTGAGGGTTTGCCAAAAATCCTATGAATGTTGCGAGCTCATCAGTTGCATGGATGTGAGTTGTGATGTGACGTTTGAGAGCTTCTGCTCATGAGTGGCTTGTACCGTTGCTATAGTTTTTCTTTGAAGCTCATCCTCACACAGGTCCTGCATGTCAAATCTCTTCAACCAAGATGCCTTTGAAGCGGGTGCATAGAACCAATCCTTTACCATAAGGAATCAACAGCTCCAAGATCAGAGTTGGGATCCAAAGTATTCCGAAAATTCGTCCCAGTCAACCGCGAACTTTCGAAAACTTTGGAGGGGGTTCTGTAGGCTGTCTAAAAATCACAATAGATAGCTGATCCCCATCAAAAAGCGTCGAAAAAACGATAACGCCGAGGTCAGACCCGCGATGCAAAGACGATAACGCCAAAGTCATAGCCGCGTTTCAAGTCAAAATGCCGAGGTTAGACCAGCGATGCGAAAACAAAATGCCGAGGTTAGACCAGCGAGTTTTAAACAGAACGCCGAGGTCACACCCGCGTCTCAAGTTCAAAATGCAGGGTCCACCCCCAACATTCCAGAAGCAGGATTATGGCACATACCTTCACACAGGCCCTATGTGACAAATCCCTTCAACCAAGATGCCTTCGAAGCGAGTGCAGAGAACGACTCCTTTACGACAAGGAATCAACAGCTCTAAGATCAGAGTTAAGATCCAAAGTATTGCGAAAATTCGTCCCAGTCAACCGCGAACTTTCGAAAACTTTGGAGGGGGTTCTGTAGGCTGTCTAAAAATCACAATAGATAGCTTATCCCCCATCAACCACCGATGAGGGAAGTTACAATCTGACGACTTCCAGAAGGCTGTAATCTGAAGATTTTCACATGTCAAAGAGTTAAAGCAAAGATTACAAAACGACAGTCTTTAGCAATACTCTGACAGAAAGGATTACAAATCGACGATCTCTTCAAACCAAGACGTGGAAGTCCCAAGACGAAGATTACAAGACAATGATCTTTGCAACGCTATGACAAAAGAGATTACTTTGTGATAATCTCTTCAAGACTAGACGCGGAGGTCCTCCCCGTGTGCCAACATTAAAACGCCGGGGTCGAACCCGCGTTACAACATTAAAACGCCAGGGTTGAACCCCGCGTTACAACATCAAAACGCCGAGGTCGAACCCGCGTTACAACATTAAAACGCCAGGGTCGAACCCCGCGTTACAACATCAAAATGCCAGGGTCGAACCCGCGTTACAACATCAAAACGCCGAGGTCGAACCCGCGTTACAACATCAAAACGCTAGGGTCGGACCCGCGTTACAACAAGCTAAACGTGAGCAACCCTCGCGTTCTTAGGGGTCCAGCCAATACCGACCCCCGCGTTTCTAAGCTACAACAAACCAAAACGCGAGCGACCCTCGCGTTCATCAATGTTCAGCCAACATCCAACTTCGCGTCTCAATTCTTAGAGGCGAAGTTAGGTTCTGAACGCCAGATTGGGCGTTTTGACTTGTTCAAACACAAGCCGAACGGCCTCAAAACTGTTATCTCACGTTCTGAGGGATTTTCGCCCACTTAGGAGCGGATTTAGAGGGCAGTTACAACCTCTTATCCCCCTATAAAAGTGAAAAAACTCAACTGAGTTAAAGTTTCAATTTTCTTGGCTTGGATCGACCATTGGAGACAGGCTTTTGAGGAGATCGACATCATCTTCCAACGAAGATCATCTTCAACTTCAGCAACAGAGAGCTTTGATCCTTGGCTATTAACCGAACTTTCGGTTCAAATCAACTCTTTTTCAAGAGTTCAAACTCGATCAGAGTTATCAACTCATTAAGAGTTTTAAACTTACCATGCAAGTTCTCCACAACGTCAAATCGTGAAGAGAAGACATCGTTCCAGTGAATCAAGACGTGCGGATCGTCAACGGAGAGCAAACTCGACGCGAGCATTCGAGGGAGGCACTCCATCGCCACCGTGAAGAACCCAATTTTAAACAAAGAGGAAGAACCAATTTCGTTCTCCTCTCTTTTGTAATCAAGTTGTAACCGAGATCAAAGGAATCAAAAATCACATTTTCTTTATTCTCTTCTTTGCAATTTTTCCTACAAATCTCAGCAAAAGATGGCGACTCCGCTGGGGACTAGCTTCTGTGACGAAGAAGTGGTGGAACTTGTGAAGATTCAAGGAAGCAAGAACCCAGCTGATATGCTTACCAAGGTTGTCACTACAGAGAAACTGAAGTTGTGTTCAACTTCAGTTGGCCTCAGCACTTGATGATATGGAGGCCGTCGCCGCAGAGAGATTTGGAAGAGATTGATAGTTAGTCTCCAAGTGGGAGATTGTTAGGATATGTGAAGCCTAACTATAAGGCATGCCCTACATTTCAGAAGAGAGGAGAAACAAAGTTGGAACATGATCGACGATGAAGAAGTTCAAGCAAAACGACGAAGGAGAGATTTGGCAGCTTTGCGGTCGACCGGCCATGGCGCGGCAGTCGACCGTCTACGTGCACAGCTGGGTGCACAGGCCAGGAGCTCGTCGCGGTCGACCGTCTGTGGCGCTGCGGTCGACCGCTCAAAGTCCAGAGAGCAACCCAGACCGCCCAAAGTCCAGAGAGCTCGATCAGGAATAGGATTCGTCGCGGTCGACCGCACGTGGTGCTGCGGTCGACCGGAGTCGGGTTTTGGCCCAAATTCATTTTTTAACCTGATTTGATCTGTTTCCTTGTTTACTTGTTAAACCCTTAAGTCTATAAAAGGGTTGATTAGGGCATGATGTAAAGAGACGAAAAATAGTGAATTTTTCTCCTGCGGCGGCCGTGGACGTAGTTTCTCACATTGAGAAGCGAACCACGTAAATCTTGTGTGTTTGAGACTGTTTGATTTTCTCTCTTCTCTCCTAAATCTCTATTTCCAAATCGCATCAGGGGGGTTGTGCATCCCCAACAGTAAAGAATACAAATCTTATCAGCACATCACCTATAGTAGCGGGGTGTTCTGAACTAGGCCAAAATTGAGAAAGTAGTCTCTTTAAAAGGAAACAAAGAGAGAGTACAGCAGAATAGCATACTGAAGTTCCATCATAGCATAAACATTTGTTTGCATGACCCAAACACATCCCACAAAGAACCAGCAACATTTTGCAATCCTACAAGACTCCAACTGCCTAAATAGAACTAGAGACATCACTAACACCAATAGGACTTTATAGAGATCATCATCAGAGAAGGAGTGCATCGCCGATGTTTTGAACTGCTTCTTCGGCGATGATCTTGTACATCTTCTGCGTTGGATGGACGGCGTCCCAGTACATGAACCTCGTTGGATCATCGCAGGTTGTCTGGCCCTTGCATGTCTCTCCTATCTCGATCGTTCCTGATCCGCAACATCCCTTTGTTGTCTCTGTAAATCCTGTACGTTTAACAAAAACATTTGCATTGAATCATCAGTATCCCTTTCCTATTTCGGTCATAGGGTCATATCATCAATACTAGACAGGCAGTAAGTTTAATACATCGATACTACATTGGCTCTATCATCAACATAACCAATATGATATTATATCATTTCAGGCCCTTGTCAGCCACATATACGTACGTGATAAAAATACCCGTGCACATATTCAACCTTTGATGTTGGAGTTGTGATGTAAAAGTTTGCTGATCAGACATATGTGCAATACATTCAAACTACTAATTATTGAATTTCAAATGATAACCACAAGTAAAAAAATAATCCAAAATATTTCAGAGTATTAGAATCTCAAAGGGTATTTAAAATCTGAAACTTACCAAACTTCTTGGGATGCTTAGTGGCCTGTTCAAAAACTTGGTATACATCAAGGAAATGAGTTTTGATACTCAATTGCTTCCTTAGAGTATGAAGTTGCCTCGCAATCTTAGAGTTGAAGGAGTTAGCAACATCGTTGAGCTTCACATAACATTCTTCAGCACTCATAAGAGTCTTAACAACAGGTAGACATCCCATTGGTGGAACTCCGACAACTGTGAATCTTTTCGGGCCTAATTTATTGATTTCCTGAAATTTAGTAAGATCTTTAGAATACAAAAAATTAAAAACTCAGAGCTAAATGTTCATAATTAGAGTTTTATTGTGATGAAAGAGACCTTGCAATGGTATTATAACAACCGGAGTACAACTTTATAAATTCCACACTCATGAATGGACCATCAGTATATGAGAGCATGTTAAAGATAATATGTTTAATTTCTTTTACACTGCACCAAAACTTTGAAGTTGTGATAAGGGTAACAATTTTATGCTCTAATGTGTTACCGTTGGTTGAATGCCCTTAATTTTATGAATCAAAACATATACCCATGCATTGAAATCTTTTCTAAATCTGTCTTATATTCATGGTTCGTGTGAATCAAGCCTGAGTTGCTCTATGCCAAAAGTATGAAGTTGTTGTGAACCCTTATAGATTAAAATTATCATTGCTTATGGAAAAAAATCATTTACCAGTTTTTTTCTCGGTGTAGAAATGAAGGATGAGGAATTAAATAACTACCTTGATGTATTCAGAAATAAGAGAGACCAGATAGTCCTCATATTGTGGCTCAGTGAATTCTTTCGATCTGTTATCGTAAAAGTAGTAATTTTGGATGAAATCATTGGTGCCTGCACTTATCACAACAATAGCATCTTCAGTAATCTTTTGTGCTTCTGCAGGACCAAATAATTTTCTCAGATGGAGTTTGTAATGCTTCAAGTAGTCTACTTGTTTGGCCATCGATATTACACCCTGCAGGAAAAAAAAATGAGAAGAGCTAGATTAAATGGTTTTGTTAATAAATGTTGATTAATTTGAAACCATAAGAGATTGTAGATTAAATGGTTTTGTTAATAAATGTTGATTAATTTGAAACCATAAGAGATTGGGGATTAGCATACTGCACTTGTGGAGGTTAATTCAATAAATGTTGATTAATTTGAAACCATAAGAGATTGGGGATTAGCATACTGCACTTGTGGAGGTTAATTCATCATATCCTGAAGAGGCTGATCCGAAACTGACGCCATGTTTGAGCTGTTCAGGAGTGAGATTGGGGTCCAAGAATGCTGGAACGCTCGTGGAAATACCAAAGAATTCAGCTGCACATATGCAAAATTTTACATTTACATGATGCTGAGTGTAAATGTAAAAAATAACGGAGCGTACGTTAGTGCGAGCACGCACATATGTACACCGTATGTGGGAATGTTTGATATGAGCTGCTACGTTATTTTGTGAAAGGTTATTTGCACATAGACCCCCTGCGGTACCGCTGTTTTGAACTAACCGTTTCATGTAGCTTTTATTCTCAGTTAGACTCGTTAATTTCACCCAGGGTAGTATATATATGCTAAACTTTCACTGACGCTAAAAGAGTGAAAAAGAATCTAACATAAGGATTGCGATAACGAAGCTACAACAGTTGTAGGTTCAAAATAATGATACTGTGGGGGGTCTATGTGGAATTAATCCTTTTAGAAAGTATATGAAAAAGGAATACCAGATAACAGTTATGATAAATGAGCTAGTAAGAGATAGAACGTCCATTGAGGATTTATAGAGGAGTACGCCATTATCTGATGAGAAATGTGTGGATGATAAAATGCCCAAAAATCAAAGTCATAGGTGCTAGCTAGAGACTTGAATGTCCGAAATAATAACTCACTGAACATCATTGTGCAAATTACTGTCTTATTCAGGAAGTACAGAAAAGACATGTGCTAACATTTATCATTCTGCATGCTAATAGGTGATAATTAATATAAGACCCATCCAATAACAGTAAATAAATATATTCTTACAGCAGTAAGAAAAAGTAAACAAGAACAAAAATTCAGATGCAGGTAATTCCTGATATCACATATTACTTAGTTTATATGAGCATTGTTAATTAGAATATAAAATTACAATCTTTTGTTGTGGGCAGCGGAAATTTCGGCAGAGTTTTTGGTGCACAATAAGAGAGAAAGATCGATAATAATTCTTGTTTCTCAAATGGAACAAGAATCTGAAAGCCTAATATCCCATCAAAGTGGGATATTAGCTCTTCCTCTCGTCAGCTCTAGGACTGCGCGTCGAGGGATCCTAAAAACTATTACAATGGCCACAAACTCAAACAATCAATTTTACGTGGTTCGGCAAACTGCCTACGTCCACCGGGCAAGGAGGGGGAGATCTACTATTAAAGAGAAAAAAAATACAAATAGGTTTACAACTCTCACAATCTAAACCCTCAAATAGGCTCAAACAGCCACCAAATAGGATTTTTCTCCTCTGCACGAAGCCCAAGAAAAAATCCACAGCCGCCTTTTTCCTCTCTCTCCCCTTTGCCTTAGCTCTGCAGCCGCCTTAATTGCACCTGCGCAGCCGCCAAAGAAAAAGAAAAAAGCCGACTAAACTCCCCTCCTTCGCACACCTACCTAGGTCAATTAACTAGGTTTATATATATGCACAAAGGACAAACGGGTGGGCCGGTTATTGTCCAGGAAACAAAAGAAACCCTCAAGCACTCACGTGGAAACAATCCCTCAAGCACTCACGTGCTCTTCACAATTCTCCACCTCGGCGAAGTTCTCCCAAAACTGAGCCGACACCGACCAAATCAAATGTCTCACTTGTTGTGTCCAGTACGAAGTGAAACAATTCACGACAACGGACTCAATCCATAACAAGTCGAGAACCCAAATGAGAGTGCGAACACTCACCAAAACATCGGTATTTACTCACCAAATCGATCTCACCCCTATCAAAATCCAAACCGGCTGCATCGTAAAAACTGCCTACGTATCCTCTTGCCCAAGGAATCAAGCCGAACATAGTTCACCCAAATGGCCGCTAACGACCTCAATTCAATAGAAGAGTACGCAACCCTTCTCCAATATCATCAACTCTGCGGCTGATAGTACCTCCAATGGCCTCAAACACCTCCACCTGAGGTGAACCACTGGCCATATCCAAACTGCATCTATCAGCTGCACTCGAATCAAAACCCAACTCATCATCTGCACCCAAATCCAAATGATCCCTAAGCTGTGTCACCTCAGCTGGAATCCCAAACAATGCAGTATGATCTGGAGTAATCTTCACCCAATGTGGAGTAGCATCACTCTTCACCCGCTGCGATACCTCTAAGGTCTGTCCAAAACTCTCCACCTGCTGAGAGTCAATTAGCTCCCTCATCGAAGCCTCAACCAAAGTGACACTACCAGACCTATCTTCCAATGGAGTTTTACCTCCAATCGCAACAGTTGACAACTCTTTAATAGGATGACCCAAATATGTCGAAGCCTCTGTCCAGAAACTCTTCTGCAAATCATTGTTCGACCACAAACACCGATCCTCCTCCAGCAAGGCATGGTTCTCCAAATTTGTCACTCTATCTAGTTGCCCCAAGATTTCCTTTCTAACGAAGTGTCTCGCAATGCCGTGAGCTCGGCTCCAATACAGAAATAGGTCCATCTTGTACCTCCTACCAAAACCAGAATGGAGTACCTTCACCTTTCTGTCTATCACACACTTCTTCAATCTGTTGGATACTACTAGGACTTTCTCCGAAGGGGATTTGGTTGCAACCCAAACACGCCTAGAACAGCCACCAACAAAGGAAACCAAACACCTATTACCTCTCAATGATGCCCCCTTGGAAGGCCCCCAAACATCCACGTGAACTCCTCCAGAACGACCCTTAGCACGGTGAATAGAGGTGCCGCACTTCACCTTGGTCTTCTTGATCACATCAACATGTTCACTGGACTTCAAACTGCAGGTCTTCGCACCCTCTTTCAATCTATGCGAGGAATCAATACTGGAATGGCCAAGCCCCAAATGCCGCAGTCTAGACGAATCAATAGAAGTCGTCAGCTCTCCACCTGCCACTATACCTCCAGTCAAATAATACAGGTTCCCAAATGCCGCAGTCTAGTCAAATCAACAGAAGTCGTCAGCTCTCCACCTGCCACTATACCTCCAGTCAAGTAGTACAGGTTATTTCTCCCGACACCCTGTTTTTGTTGAAAGTTGCCTTCATCATTGATTTCATTAAATTTTAAACGTTACAAATGAATTCAAACAACAAAGAATAAAAAGATTATAACTTTCTTGAAAATAAACACAATTTAAACGTTACAAATGAATTCAAACAACAAAGAATAAAAAGATTATAACTTTCTTGAAAATAAACACAAGATCCGTTCGTCGTCTCTTGCTTGCGTGGGTCTTTAGCCTGTGACGGGGATGTCGATATCCGTGGACTACCTGGCTATCAGATCTGGTCCAGAGCTTCGTCGATCCACGAGAAGATCTAGAAACTTGAAGCGCCTATCTCGATAAAAGCAAGATAATTGCTCTTCTTAGAATTACCACAATGGGATAAGACTAAGGATCGGATGCGGGTGATATAGATCTGACGAAGAAACTCTCTTGCGTTGAAGTGCTCGATCACTCTTCAGTCCGACAGGGCTTCGCCAATACTCCAAAAATCCAGATCTAAAAAAATGAGGCCTAAGGCTTGTATTTATAGGCTTGAGGGGATAACGGAGTGGTTAAAACACCTTAAAGGCCCAAATCTGCCTTGGAGACACCCCAGGGTGTCTCCACTTGTTTGGAGACACCCTAGGGTGTCTCCCATTGATCCGAGACACCCTAGGGTGTCTCGTTGGTCCGAGACACTCCTTTGGTGTTTTTTTTGATATGTTTCTGTTGTAATTCCTTCGTCCGGACTCGGATTTGAGTGATTCGAAGTGCGTTGGAAAGCCGACAAGGAGTTCTATCAGCTCCGATGGTTGGATCATTTGTTGAATGAATAAGACACGAAGGACGTTGTTCCTTTTGTAAACATTGCAGGACTCTCGATTAGCCCGTACCTTCGTTAGTTCACGTAGTTCATTGATTTACTTCAAGCGTTCATCGACATCAATCGAACTCCTGTGAACCAGATAGTGACGTTCATCGTTGTTCCTTAACACTGAGTTGTTCGTGGAGACCTATAGGCAATTTTTGATGCCTACAGATACCCCCTCCAAAGCGTTCCAGACTCGTTTCTTTTATAGAAGAGGCTGGAATACTTTGGATGTGATTGGTCCAGCCTTCAGTCGGCATAAAGGACCTGTAGTTAGCTTCAACTGTTAGCTCCTTCGATTTTCGGTCTATTCAATGTTTTGACGAATAGCCGAAGTTTTTCCGGCGCTGCGTTTATCGCCTGACCGTCGTCGGAGTCTCGAGTCTATCACCAGTGAGTTGAGTTTGGCTCATGTCATTGAGTTGACTTTGAATTGACTATCTCTGTCATACTGTGCTGACTTAGGGTTTCAGATCACCGTATGTTGATTTTTGATCGCAACACGTTGACTGGCGTTGACCTAGGGTTACGCGTTGACCGGCGTTGACCCTAGGGTTTCGAATGTCGAACGTTGACTTTTGTCACAACGCGTTGACTGGCGTTGACCTAGGGTTACGTGTTGACCGGCGTTGACCCTAGGGTTTCGAACAACGCGTTGACTGGCGTTGACCTAGGGTTACGTGTTGACCGGCGTTGACCCTAGGGTTTCGAATGTCGAACGTTGACTTTTTGGTCGCAACGCGTTGATTGGCATTGACCTAGGGTTACGCGTTGACTGGCATTGACCCTAGGGTTTCGAACGTCGAACGTTGACTTTTTGTCGCAACGCGTTGACTGACGTTGACCTAGGGTTACGCATTGACCGGCGTTGACCCTAGGGTTTCGAACGTCGGATGTTGACTTTTTTTCGTAACACGTTGACTGGCGTTGACCTAGGGTTACGCGTTGACCGGCGTTGACCCTAGGGTTTCGAACGTCGAACGTTGACACAGTTTATACTCGTACGTTTACTGGAGTATACACAGTTTAAGCTCTTAAGGTATTGGAGCATGGCAGTCCCAAGTGTCGGGGTTGCAGGACTAACTGTTAAAGCTGATTCATCTGCTTTTGTGGATCTTATTTTAATGTTGTTGGATAATAAAGTCACGAGACCAACTAACAGAGCTGATGCATCAATGACTAGCACTTATAGAATTTTTGGCAAATTCTCAGCCATCAACGGGTTTCATGAGCCTTTACCGACTACCGTTTGAGTCGGGCTAG